TTTGCTATAGCTCAATATCTTTTGTGTAATTATTAACAATAAAACTAAAATATAAATTTATTTTTATAGCCAACTAATGCAGGATACTCTTATGGTGATGTTGTATCTACTACTTCAGCCGCTGAAGATGATGTATTCACATTTCTAGAAATCTTTTTCCAAAATTTTCCTCAATATGCTAAGTTAAAATTCCATATTGCTGGTGAATCGTAAGTATTGTTAATGTTGTTAATATTGTTAATATTGTTAATATTATTAATATTATTAATATTGTTTAAATAAAATCACAAAATAACAAAATTATTTTTATATATTATTTACAGGTATGGAGGGCATTACTTACCCGTCTTAGCCTCAAAGATCAAAAATAGCAATGCTAATATCAATCTTGAATCCATCTTGATTGGAAATGGTCTAATAGACCCTCTAGTGCAATTCAAATCTTTTCCAGATATTGCTTGTAATAATCCACCTTATGAACCAGTGTTAGATAATGCTACATGTACTCAAATGAGAGAGAATTTTCCCATATGTGCTAATTCTACACAAGCATGCTACGATTCAAAAAGTTCAGAAGATTGCACAAATGCTTTTAGCCAATGTTTTAGTACAATGATTGATCCCCTTACAAGTGCTGGTATAAATTATTTGGATATAAGACAACATTGTTCTGGCATTGCTTGCTATCCAACTTTCTTGGATATCTTCGCATATTCTAATAGTACAAATGTTAAAACTGAATTGGGGGTTGATCCTTCGTTTAGCTTTCAATTATGTAACACTGCTGTTAATAGCACCTTCGTTAACTCTGGTGATTGGTAAGCAATCTACATTAATTAATTAATATAAATTAGTTAAATTGATCTAATTTTGTGGTTAAAGATTTACAAATATATTTATACTATAAATGTTTGTTTTTTTAATATAGGATGCTTCCCTTTGACGGTTACATTCCATCACTCTTGGAAAACAATATTCGAGTATTAGTATATGCTGGTAATTTTATTGATATGCTAGTTTTGTTTTAAATTGGTTAAACTTTTTTATTTAATTTGTTATAAAATTATTTTATAGGTGATGCTGATTATCTTTGTAATTGGCTTGGTAAGTATTTGTTACTAAATTTATATATTATTATAAAATGTCTTGGAGCAATTACAAGTAACTAACTCACTTTAGTGATGTGATCTGCTCCTTTAAATTTTTTTTTAAAATTGAGAGAATTTTATATAGAATATCATGAGCTTAACTATAGCAAAATTTTAATTAATAATCGTTTTTTAGGTAATGATGCATGGACGAAAGCTCTTAATTGGACTGGTGCTGCAAGTTTTAATAATGCTAATATTACTCAATGGATAACAGCTACTGGTACTTACTCTGGAGATGTTAGAACATCCAATGGACTTACATTCCTAAAAATTTTCAATGCGGCACATATGGCAGTTCATGATCAGCCAGCTGCAAGCTTAGATTTCTTTAATAAATGGATATCCAATAAGCCTTTGTAAATGACTATTAAATATAGTTAAATTACGCGTATTCTCTAGCTTTAACATTTCAATACTTTATTTATGTTTATGAATCAATTATTTGTTAAAAATAATTTACAGCAAATTGAAATTGCGGTTTAATATTTAGATTTAATCTCTTTATTATTTATTTAATTACTATTCTTATTTATTTTTTGTATTTATTACACAATATATTATTAATTCAGTAATAAAAATTTTTATCACAAATTAAATATTATACTATTAAACCAACAATAGTTATCTTTTTATAATATAATCTTTATGTAAAATATTGTATATTTTTATAAAAATATATATTAATATAGTTTTATATAATAAATATATATAATAATTATACTATAAAGTATATATAGTAATACAATTTCTCATCAAGCCATAGATCATTCTTCAGTATATATTTCATCATCAAAGAAATTGGAATTAGGATCTGCATGCTAATTAGTTATTGTCTGAAGTATAACTGTTGAGGCAATAAGTCGCCTAGATGTAAAGATAGCAAAAATCATGATTTAAATCAAATTTTGTGTAATTTATACAAGATTTAAATTATTTGATTTTTATTATTATTATGGTATGATTTTATTTGGGAAATAAACCGAAAAATAACTGATACTTGCTTTCTAACAGAATTTTTTAGTTATTCTTCATATAAGTGTTATTAAGAACAAACCAGAATCTAAAAAGTATAGATTATTATGTGGTGAACTTAGCTCTAAAAAATATCAATAATATATTGTGATAACAGTCTTCTCTTATGATTGAAATATTCAGATAGAGATAATGATTTTTTGCAAAATTCAGAATACTGCAGAATTTTTGCAAAATAAGAATTTTAATAAAATTTAGAATTTTTGCAAAATGCAAAATATAGCAGAATTCATATAAATTGTGGTCTTTTTTGCAGAATTTTTAATTTTTAAAACATAATTAAAATAATTTTAAATTCTGTAATAATTTGTAAATATTTTTATTTATTAAAGTATATTCCTCTATCAAAAATTACTAAAATTTTTAAAATTTTATAAGATCTATTGCTATGACTTATTATTTATATAATTTTATTGTAAACTAACTATTAAATTAACTCTTTTAACTCTTTTTAATTTTTTTATAATTTTGTCAAGATCTCTTTTAGTAAAATTTTTTTTATTTTATGATACAAAAATAAAAAAAATTACTATTAAACAATATAACCAAATTATTAGTATATTTAAAAGTAGTATAAAATTAGCAATAATATAAGAACTTTGCTGAAACTTGAGTTTTTTAGCAATATAATTATTATATTAAAATAATGTAATTTTAATATTAAAATAATATAATTTTAATATTAAAATAATATAATTTATAAAATTTATAAATATTATATAGTTTTTATATTAT